TGTATCGCTCTAAGTTGTGACTATTACATATTGAATCTCATCTTAATATCCATCGCTACTCCATTCCTATGCTTTAATACTATTTCCTTTGCTAAAGTTACTATTAGTCTAAATTTTACAAATTTGCTTCTACTTCTGCTATAGTTAATGTTGTTCTGCTATCACTACTATCATATTATTGTGCTACTAATAAATTGTTGCAAGGAAGTGTTCCTCAGGTGTCGCTGAATTCACAACTCAATTGCTAAGGCTTATAAATATTCTTTTGGCTCCCCTTGTGCCGAGTCAATAAATTTGGGTAAAATAAGACAATTGCGATCCCATATACTTGTGGGTCCTCGCGAAGCTAGAGACCAAGCTGTAGCGCATGCATGGAAGTTCTACGAGAAGGAGCGGGAGGTGTCGTGGTGGTTCGACACCGCCAAACATGTCTCCCACCATAAGGATGAGCCATGGTTTCATTACAACCAAGCAACCTACGACGGATATACGCGTACGTTTTCCCTTGGTGGTTTCGCTCCGTCCCAACCATCTTCATGTTATTGCTTTTCTCACAATAGCTATATAGAGTCACAAAACAAATATGAGAGAAGGAACGGTCGAAGGTCCAAGAAATCTGGAGGAAGAAGAAGGATGTTCGTTGGATCTTAATCTAATGGCCCAAAAAAATTATTTACAAAAAGTAATTTGTCAGGTGATTTATGTATAGCCGGTCCTGAATTTGTACACCCTCGTAGCATACTTTGCACAAGAATGAATGAATCTTAGCAAAAGAAACAATAAAATCATCAGGCTCTTAGTGTGATTACATATTCTTGCTTCACTACTAGGAAAGAAACCTATAGGTAGACACTTAACAGTGGCTCGGGGTATGTGGATCGTGCTACTGTAGCGTGTGGCAAAGCTTAGCGCTGCATGTGAATATTACTAGTAGTGTGGGTTTGCCACCCCACGGTACTACTAAGTGGTCCCCACCATGCCCCAAGGGCTGGCCATAGTATTAGAGCCGGGTCACGAGCCCGTGCTAGTGCTACGCCTGTTAGCTGTAGCGCAGCCTCCTATACCCGCACTGCTACTGTGGATACATCATACATGGGCCCAGCTACCCGGCCCCGCCTAGCAGCATCTTGTGTTATTTAGCCTGATCTATAGCTAGTGGGCACAAAAGTAGCGCGGGCCCTTTCCGCCGCTGCTGCTAAACCACCCTTATCCTCTCTCTGTCGCACGCGTCGGCCCTCACTCTCCCTCTCCACTATCTCTCCCCCACCACCGGCCCTCCCCAGGCACGTTGGCCCACCCCTGCCCTGCAGTGCTTCGGCCTCGATGGCACTTTGCCCTGCTTGACAGCTAGGTATCCAAGCTATGGTGGTGCGCCTTGCAGGTCGAGCCCTTCACCTCCCCTCCGTTGGTGCCTCCTTGGAGCAGACGCTCCACCCAGCAACACCATAGGCAGTAGGTAGCCGCCACTCCTTTGGCCCCCTCCCTCCTTCCTCTTGCATCCTCTGTCTGCTCAAAAAAATTCCCTTTTTTTTCATTGGATGATCACATATTGTAGATCATATATCGTGATAATGCTTGCAAGGGAAAATGTGTACAAATTGCATTTTGAATTTGATTTCAGATGAGCAAGTATTTTGGTTTAAATACTCAAGTGTAGTAATGTACTCCACTGCATTGGTTGATGTTGGATGATGGATAATGATGTGCTATTTCTCTAGGGTTTATAGAATGACTCTCCATCTCTCATGTCAAAGTTAAGGCTTCTTTAATCAAGTGCGTAGTATACTTTGGATCAATGAAGAAAATGAAAAAAAAAGAATGTCAGAGATCAGAAACATGATTGTTTGTTCTGATACATAGGGCAACACAAAGTTAGAAATTATAATTGATTTGATAATTTTAGAATATAAATTGGACTAGACTCCCTTGTTTGTGAATTAATAAGTTTCGATGTTGGATTTCTTGGAGTCAAATGATCACTAGGATCTAGTATAGCTTGATGTGAGAAGTAGGACAAAAATACTAAGTCCTTTTCCCTTATTATGAACATGTTTACTGAATGTCATATTTGAATGTGTTAACTGAATTTACTACAGTTAATACTTGTAAGCCAGATTTGGACAGACTACAAACTGAACTGATTGGTCTATGTTGTTTTGAACCAGAGAAACCAAGGTGAAGCAGGTAGATCACCGAGTGCCGCTCCACATCACCCAGAATATCGCCGACGACACTCGCATCCTCGACAGCCATCTAGGGAGCATTTTGTGTAATAGTACATTTCTGTGTAGGTGTAATAGTTCAACTGAACTAGAACTGCAAGTATTGGATCAAGATGAAGTGTTTTTTGTTTTGTATTTAGGTGATGTTTGATTTGAGGGATCTATGATATGCTATGTTGATGTTCAAAGAAAGAGAAATGCACATGATACATGATTTTGCAGGGAACACCCCTGAGTGGCCTATGTTTTGCTGAAATATTGATTCATATACATTTCGACAAATTTCAAGCGCTCGATATGCCCATCTTTAGCAAAGGTCAATCCAAAATTTGCGTGAATTTTGGCATGAATTCTGCTAGAAAGTAGTATATATCGAGTGCCCGGGATTTGCCAGAATAGGAACTAAACGACATTCCGGCAAAACATAGGCCATTTTGTTTATGTCATTACTCAATATATGTAATGTTAACTGATTCATGCTTAAGATTGACTTTCAGTCTGTTGAGGCTCCTTGTGTGACTTTCAGTTTGTTCTTGAAGGAATGACCCCAACTGTTGTTGTGGGGGTCATTTGCTCCTCTTCTTGTCATGATATATCTTGGTAATGCACGAGAGAAGGGGGGAGCGACTATCGCCGACAGTCAAAATCAAAGTGAGGGAGTGTCCACCATATACACCACCATATACAATCTAAATATCACAGAGAAAGAATCCCGACTGTTGTCGCGGGGGTCGCTTCCTCCTCTTCTCCTTGTGATAGACCTTGGTAATGCACGAGGGAAGGGGGATGCAACCATCACCAACGGTCGAAATATTAGTGAGCGAGTGTCCACCATATACAGTCGAAATATCAGAGAGGAAGAATCCCGACTGTTGTCGTGGGGGTCGCTTCTTCTTCTTTCCCATCTACTAGACATTTTGGTAATGCAGTTGGGAACGAAGGGAGGAGCGACTATCATCTATGGTTAATATATCAGAGAAGGAGTGCCCAGAATATACACCATTAGAGATGAGTGTTTCTCAAGCGAGACTCGATAGACCAAAAGTCAACTCGTGTTGAATAGTGATCGGAGTGTTGAATTCCTGGTATTTGCCATCGTCATTTAATCTTTCAATTATGAACACGGCAAATGGATGTCGATGGGATCCTCGAGTGTAATGACTGTACTATGACATGGGTATGTGCGACAGGGGTCACTTGGAAAATAGTAGATGCTTCTCCCTCATGCTTAAGGAGGGCTTGGATTATTTTTACAGTATGTAACTTCAGCGACTAGTGCATCCCTTGCTATGCAAGACCTTATGTCTTAGAGAAGCTCTCTTTCGAAGAGAGGGAGAAGGGGACACGAAGAAATCTCACCTTAAAATAAAACATGGATTCATTTTTTAGGTTAAGATCATAAATGAAGTTGGTCAAACACATTTTGGTTGTTCAAATTGGAAAGGATTATGCAAGGCCTACGGATTTCAGGAGGATATGAAAATAACCTTCGATATTGGCATTCCTCAAGGTGATTCTGAACATGATAAAGACACTTGGGTGGACCTTGACATGGTTCCTATTGTACCTCCATATGAGTTTGTTATGCTAATTTGTTAAATAATCTATATTGCTTACTTAAAATAATTGTTATTAAACCCGTACTAAAATTGTTTATTTATAGTTGACAGTTTATTTCCTTTCTCCAAGAGATACACAGAAGATTGTACACAATACCTACTACAATCATGGCTTAGATCTAACTTGGGAGGATAAGATTTCTCTTGTCACCTTTGTTAATGAAGTTCTGACTTTTAAGATCATCTTTGGAGCTAGCAAAAATTATAGTTGATACATACCACTAGTCCACGAGTTGAGCGATGGTAACATACATGCAAATATCACGGTAAGATTTTTCTATTATGTCACTAGTCCATCTTTTTCATACATTTTTCTTAAGTAATTTACATTGCTAACTATGTTACTATTATGTTCTTCAACAGAAGCTCCTGAATTGTGTTGTGCATCCAATGATTGATGTCGAAGGTGAGATGACAATTGTGTGTGTCTGGCCATGGTCGGAGGGTCTGCAAATATCCATGCTTGACTACTCAAACAGATGGAGGCCTCAAAATCAAAGGATGGCGAAAAATAGTGACTGGGCGAAGGCCACAAATTGGAGGCCGGTGGATCTCTGTGCTCCGTGTTGGAGCTGGACAGGTTTTTCTATTTTATGCTATTTTACCAGAGAGAGAGAGAGAGAGAGAGAGAGAGAGAGAGAGAGTAGGTCCTATTACTTGTCATGTGTTAAGAACTTATTTATCTAAATGCTAACAATTAGCTAGTACTAGTGAACTTATGATGATCCTTATGGTGAGACATTGTTATATCTCTACGACGATGATGGTGATGATAATGATGAGTTGTTATATCGCTGCGATGATGATGAGTTGTTATATCATTGCTACGGTATAACAATTGTATAAGGGTGTATAAATGCAGTATAATTATGCTGAAATGAAATACGCATGCATAGTAGTGGTGCAGGGCACTAGCCAACACTGCTGCTATTTAGCAGTAGTGTGGGTCCTACCTCACGCTACTGCTAATAAATGCAGTAGTAACATGAGGCGAGGCCCGCACTACTGCTAAATGTTAGGTTCAGCGTGCTAGCAGTAGCGCGGGCCCCAACACTACTGCTAGGCCCCAGCTTCTATCATGAATAGAAATTGATAATACATAATTCACCATCACTTATTTGATCATAGTGATTATTTTAATATATTTGTTGAGTTCATATCAGTAGGCCTTATAAGACCCTAATCCACCATAGAAGATACGCATACCTACATATTTACTATATTCAAATCTTTCCACAGTATATTTGGATTTATCGCTTGATTCAGGCCGCACTTGAGACTTATCTGGAGTGTCAAAATAGCCCTTCTCATTATTCGCAATCTGGATATTTTTTACGAAAGCCGCTCCTCTGTATCCCTCCGAAGCAAAATGTCCACTACCCATTTGCGGAGAGTTTGACGAGGCAGTCGGCCCCTCAACAATCCCACCCCAGAATGCTGCGTCACCTTTATTCCTAAGGAATTCGAATAATGCACTTGGCCAATATCCAATTGCTACATGCTCATAAGTCAACCACCAGTTCTTAGACACAGGGTCCTAAAATAAATCAATATTTATTGCAGGTTAGATGCCGTCCTCAAATCAATATTGCATGAGATAAATAGGCTATTAAATAACTATGATTATTTACAATGGTGATCTTATTCTTTCTAGTATTTTTTAGCGGCCAGTTATTTTATAATCCTTTTGATGACATATAGTAGGCATGCATGTCTTCACCTAATCCTTTTTGCATAGCAAGGGATATGAATCAGAATGATATATGTGTATTTCCTTCATGTTCAAAATATTGTCATGATTAATTGAATTTGCCTTTTGAATCTATATTATTAGAATAGTGTCATATATGTGCAAAAAGATAGTATGTGGGTGTAAGATGGTAAACAAACATATCAAGTTGTGGTCACGTTCAGTAAGGTATATATAGTGGTTATGCACACGAAATAAAATCAAATAATACTAATTTGCGTACATATAATTTGTACATGACACTTGAGAAATCTTATACTTTAAGAATACGATAATACCTTGAAAATTTGAATGTGTATTACTGTCTGCTTTCCATGATAAACAGAGGGTGATCGCATTCTTGCTCCAAGACCAACTCTATGGCTAACTTGCACAAAACCAGGACAACTGAAGTCAATGCATGACTTTTTGTATAGGCCATCATACTGTGAGGTTTGTTCCAAGGTAAAAGTAAAATATGAACTTATATTATTAATTTATTATCATAAAAATATATAACATATAATAGCATGTATCTGAATAAATTAAGCATTACCCAAGAAATATGAAATCTAACAAAAGTATCGCCACTCAATGTTGGAAAGACCCGAACACCAGCACCAATCCTGTCAGTGTGTTGTTCTCCTCCACTTTTCATTTCTACACACATTGCGCTAGAATCCTTACTATATTTATTCACCTTTGGCTCCCAAACATTGAATACACCACGCACCCCATATACATCACCCTGGTATATGAGTCCCGCTGACTGCAAGAATTAAAAGTAACACCTTTAAGTGAGAAAATGAATAGTATGTGTAGATAAGCCTGATAGGATATCACATGTAATTCATGTTCTCCAAAATGTAAGGCGCCAACCCCAATATAATTTTTAATTTGACCATTAGTTAAGCTATTAAGTTATGGGTTATCTAACACATAACATTATATGATTCATATTCGAAAGCATTTCTAATGTATCACTTTTGGTTCATATTACTTACATTGTTTTGCCATGTTGTAAGTATAACTTATATCTTAAGACGTGTGTTCATTCACATTTCGGGATGGAAAGAGTAACAATTAATGAAAAACACTAGTGCTGCAAGACTAGTATATAGTATGAAACTGTCCAAGAGAGTGTTGCTAAAACTTGGTAATGAAATTGGAATTCCTTCATGTACAACTGACATAATGTTCATACATAATTTTTTTACTACAAATAAAGACTTGAGGGTACAAAAATCATTACCATCTACTCAAATATTGTAGAGTATGAGGCCCTTCATTCACTATAAAATTGCATTCTTTTTTATAAGTCATTTTTCCATCATACTTTATGAACCTAGACCATTCGTTATTACGACCCTCGATGAAAAATTAACCATCACCATCGGAAGGTGATTTTTTTCTTAAAATACCTTCTTGTAATTTCATTAGATTATTATAGTGTCTATGCTGCTTCTTTAACTCAACATTGTAAATTTGACATGCATAGCAAATGCAACAATTATACGCTAATTTCCATAATCAGCCCTACAGAAAAATCCCATCAAATTGTGACAACAAATTCATTTTGTAACTTATACAAAAACTCACCTCCAATTGCCCATCGTAACTATGTGCTGCTATGGTGTCACTTCCATTAGTATGCAGTATTGGAATTGTTCCCATTGGGCACTCAATGATAGATGGTTCATCTGAAGGCAATGTTTGGATATCCATCCAAACAGGGAAATAATTTGGTTGCATCTGTTTGAAAATAGAATGAACCACCTTAGAAACAAAAAATTACAAATGTACAAGACAATACACAAAAAACATGTTCTAATTTCATTTGTCATTTATAAATCTTATATTATGTAAAAAGGTTCTTAGTTCAGTACACTTTCAATAGCCCTAATTTTCTAGCATAAAAAACATATCCAAAAAGATTAATGAAACAAGAAGGGGGTAGAACACACTGAATCAACATTTATGCAATTAATCATGAACTAACAGTATACTAGACAATTCATGGAGGTACATCATATTGTTATGAAATTAATTTACCTGGACTTTGTGGTCTTTCAATAATGGGTGCCTGAAAGCCGGTTGCTCATTCACATCAACGCAGTCATAGACATCTCCATCTTTCATCTGTTTGATATTTCCTCTACTTTTTAGCCCCCAAAACATATGCTAGATATACATAAGAAGGTTAATTATTCATACCACAATGGTTTTATTAACTCGGTGATAACTGAGAATCTGTGTAGTGTCTTCCTCTTGCCTTTTGTATTGCACATCTTTTCCTCTGGTCACCAGAACTAGAAATGACATGAAAAGAGTCACACTAATGGCTTGCATTCCTTTCATTGTGAATATAGGGAATTGTTAGTTTTGGAGTTCTTAGACCATCATATTTATATGCATCCGAGCGCACCTCACATTTAATGTTGCCTATCATTATAATGTATAACCTAAGGATTATTGTATGCATACAGAAGATATCATATATTAATTGCACTAAGATATATGACCACTAGAAAATATAGCATTAATTGCACTATATATAATAAGATGTGTCGGAAAATATGGCATCAAATGCCATAAGATATGATCATCCTTATATTTTGTACAAAATCTATTGTGTTAATGCGATATAAAGGATGTGATGTGTTTAATGCATGGAAAAATCTTGACAAGTGCTAAGTTTGATACGGAAAGTATTAATATAATTGATTTGTCGCCGGATATTCAATTCTGAGCACGGGCTCAGCTGACCCTGAAATCCTTCCCGTCTGATCGCATGAGGATGTGTGCCCATGGTTGTATTTCTGCCTGTATACCTGATGTATGGCGTTGGCTCATTAATTGCGACGACAGACGTTAAGTTAGAGGCAGAATAGCTTGCTGGGGCACGGCCCAGTCATTCTCCTATGCCAGACAGAGCCGTCCAATCCGACGGCGTACAACTCAACCCATGAACATCCACATAGTATGGTTAATATCAAGAGTGCCTCAAACGCAAAAGCTCGCAAGTACTTAGTACATGTGTAGCATAGCTTACAAACACTGACGGCCCAACGGGAACCCAAGAAAATACTGATGAACGACAACAAAGTTTACTGAATGGTACAGTAAGTCTGACGTCCTGAACTGGAGGAACACAAGGGAGCATTGCTCACTGAAAGACACTAAAAAATCTTCAGAGTACAAGTTTCAGAATTAAAAAAATTAACTATCACATCTGATTTTGAGCACCACCGATGGTGCCCTTGCATTCCCTGTCAGGGCAGGTTGTTCTCTTGTGGCCTTTGCGATGACAAATGCTGCAGAATATCATACGGTGCTTTCTCCCGGCTATTCGTTGGCCTGTCGACACCTGTCTGCTCTTCCGGAGCAGCACCCTTAAAGTGCATTCACACTGATAGATAGACGACCATTGTCTTCACGCTCTGCACTACCATTTCCCACAAATGCAACTTCTCCATCGACAGGTAGCCTCCTGCCAGGCAAGGTGGTCTGGCTGTCCTAAAAGCCCAACATCCATATTCTCTTCAAATGGTGCACCACACACCAACAAGGCCTTCAGTTCAGCCAACATGTGCGTGAAGGCTCCTGGGCTTGCATCGTCCATCCATACAACATCCATAGCTTGCAAATATAAAGTTGAATGCCTGCATGTGAAAGACTTGTTAACCGAATGGTCTTTCTCGTAACGCACGAGGTTCCCACGCAGTATGTCCCTTGCATCCACCGTCTACACTCTTCACGGTGTGCTTCGCAGGGATCTCCTCCAAGTAAAATACATCCGTCACCTGCACAGAAACAACTAGTGTCAAGAATGAGCTTTCCCTGCTGTGAGAAAGATCAAAACTGTCAAGCATAATTCAACTAATCAAGTTGTGCACACAAATGTTAAGCAGGTTTATAAACCCATTAAGCAGCCGCAAACAATCTCCTGCATTGATTTGGTCCGCTCGGCATTCAATCTGTTCTTGACATATCTAATCCGAAAGCTAAGGGCATCTCCAGCCGCGCCCCCAAGAAGGCCTCCCAAGGCGGTTTTTTTTGCGCCGGCGCCGAAAAAACGGCCCAGTCGCGCCCCCAGGAGCCCGATTTTCGCCGGCTTGGGCCGAAAACAGCGCCGGCGGACCCAGCCAAAACCCGGCGCGCTGGGGGGCGCTCGGGGGCGCCGGGCGAACTTTTTTGGCGCGAAGAAACCGCGGGCCCGATGCATCAGCGACACGGCTTTCTTCTCGGTCCTTCGTCGTCCTCATCGCCGCGTTTCCCGCGGAGAATCAATGCCAAAGCTGCCGCGCTGCCGCGCCGGTGAGCCTGCGCCATTGATGCCTCACGGGCGGCGCAGTGAAGGCCGGACGACGCGCATCCCTCGCCCTCGCCTCGCCCGCCACGCGTACGCATGGTGCCACGCGTGTGGGCGGCGCCTCGGCCTATATATGCCGCCCAGGCGCACTCGGCGTCTCACACTTCCTCGCCCGCCGTCGTTCCTCCCTCTCCTCTCCTCCCTTTCGCCGTCTCTAGTTCAAAACCAATGGCCGAGCGCTTCCCAGGCGACGGCGCGGCGGCGAACGGCTTCGGCCGCCGCCATCTTCATGAAGACGAGGCTCGCCTCCTTTACGAGGCTGAGTACCCGGTCCCGCCGGACATGCGGGAGCCCGGGGCGTGGAGGATCAGCGCGGGCGGCGTACCGGTGCCCCCGATACCCACCGGCGCGGCGCGGCGTGCGGAGATCGCACGCATCCACTCGAACCTTCCGCGTGCGGCGAGGGAGGGGCCACGGTACGTCCCCGACAGCCCGATGTGGGAACCGTACTTCCGCCGCCGTCACGCCCAGCAGCTCGAGGCCACCAATGGCGTCGTGCCCTCCGGCAGGCAAAACTCCGCCGGCCGGCCTCGGTGGTGGGGCGTGCCAGGGCGCACGTTGGAGGCCGTCCTCGAGTACATCGAGGGCGGCAACACGCCGCGCCTCGATTACCCTGCTCCCCCTTCCTTTTCACGCCGCCGGGGAAGCTCCTGGACCCCGAGGCGCATGGAAACCGGGGGGTCCTCCTCTTCATCCGGCGGCTCGCCCTGCCTCCGCCCCGTCAAGCCGGAGCCCCAGGACACGCCGGTGGCCGCGCGCACCCGCAGCTCCGGCGTCCGTATCGGCGCCAACGCCTCGCCACCCACCGGCCGTTTCGTCCTCGTCGAGACCAAGCCGGAGCCCGGCCTCCCCGCGGAGTACGAGGAGATAGCCCGGCGCGGCTTCTCCCACGAGGACGCCATGCAGTGGGCGCGGAACGACTACCTCCGCAACGAGACGGTCCGGCAGTGCCGGGCCCTGGAGGAGATCGCCGCCCGCAAGCCTGGGCGTGAGGACGAGCATGGCGTCGTGATCCTCGACAGCGACGACGACGACGCCCCCGGAGCTTCCAACCCGCCGCCGCGCCAACCGGGGGAGGGGTGCAGCAGGGACGGCGTAGGTTTAGGCGGGGGCGGCGGCGGCGACGACGACGACGACGACGACAACGACGGCGGCGGTGACTACACGCGGTTCTACAGCCTCCTCGGCATGTAGAACCGCGTGGGCGGGCGGCGAGGCGGGTGGCGAGGGAGACGGCGGGGGTAGCCCCGTGGCAGTTTTTTTTGTAAAATATGTTTAAGTTTGAACGAACTCGCCGTGTTTGCGTTAAATTTGAGTCATTTTGCGCCGTGTTTGCCTTTTTTACTCGAACCGTGGGCGCCGCGACTGGGGGGGCATCACGCCCCCAGTGCGCGGTTTAGCGCCGGTGCGTCTCCAGGGGATGATTTTTTGCCCCTCCTGGGGGGCCAACGGCTGGAGATGCCCTAATCTCCCACGAATACAAGTTGTAGAAGTCATACAAATCATCAAGCGAGTAGAAACTTAGTCCTAGTTCAGGCCGCACATTTTTTGCAGGCTGCTCTGCATACTTGCGACTTGTCTGCTCTAAGGCGCTCATACTAGATGGACACGGCGTTTTGTCGGACGGTGCACTCCCAAGGTGTAACCTGAATTTACAAGCAACAACATTCTGCTAAGAGGAAACAGAACTCAAATCAGCAGCGCCTGACCAGAACTACCAAATTATTTTTTTGACGCGTCAACGGCGGGCTTACGCCTGCCTGAGCCCTTTATTGCGACCATCAAGAAGTGTTCCAGAGCATTTAGAGCCAGAATAGCAGGGGGGTTGGAGAGTGAGAGCCGAAAAAAAAAAGAAAACTACATAGAGCCGGAGGCTACAATCTCGCAGCTAAGTGGAACAACATGGTGAACTACCAAATTATCTCCATCGCACCTAGCACGAACGAGCATTTTCATTTTGTTTGTTTTGCAAATCGTGCTCCCTCCGTTCCAAAATATAAGTCTTTGTAGAGCTTCCACTATGAACCACATATGGATGTATATAGATGCATTTTAAGTGTAGATTCATTCATTTTGCTCCGTATGTAGTCCACCTAGTGAAATTTCTACAAAGACTTATATTTAGAAATGGAGGGAGTACATAGCAGTGCAGGAAAACATCGCAACATTTGCCAAAAAAACTGTAAACAGCTACCTGGGGTAGATTCCAGGTCATACCTTTGGGTCCAGCCCGGCGCCTCGGGATTGACCCTGTCAGGGGCCTGCTACCTCGTCGGAGATGCCTGCCATCGCCGGTGCTTGTTGCCCTCCGGAGCCACCAACATGCTGCCCCCACCCGGAACCAATATACGAGTCCGCCGGCGTAGCAGGGGCAACATTCAGCCGCGGGAGCACCGCCAGAGGGACCGGATCTGGTTCTTCCGAGCTGTCCTCAAACTCTTCTCCCAGTGAAAACCTGCAACTTACTGCCATGGTGGCCGGCGGAGTCAGCGTCATGGGGGTCTCACGCAAAATCGGGAAATCTCCACGCGGGGTAGGGTTCACTTACCCATCATCGGCGTCCAACAAGAACTCAAGCTAGCGTCCTCCATCACCAGCCAGCCGGAGCAACCACAGCCTTCCGCGCAGCCTTGGGGATGGGGAGTAGCCGTCTGCGGCGGCGGCAGGTTTCGAGAAGCACCTAGGTCAGGGTCGGGCAGACACACGTCCTCACATTTGCCACCTGGCCGGGCCACCTCGACCGGACGCGCACGCTGTTCCAAAGCTCGGCCCAAAAATCTTCACAAGTGCTATGTTTGATAGGGAAAGTGTTAATATAATTGATTTGTTGCCTTAAATTGTAATCTCCAATCTATTCTAAGGCAATCTTTCCGGGTCCGCTCCTCTTTACAACCTTGCCTATCTACCCATATATATGTATGTATATCTTTACTTCTAATGGAGCAGTTGGTAGTCTCGCTTCCAGGTTTTTTTGTCCCACCACTTTCGTCCAGTTTGCTTCCAGGTTTTTTTTCGTCCCACCACTTTCGTCCAGTTTTTTCCGTAGGTTAACCGTCGTAGATTTTTTTCGTCGCCTCCCCTACTTCATCGGTTTATTTTCACTTCATCCTCTCACACAACGAAAAAAACTAAACGGATCAGAACTTTCCATACTGACGCAAATTATTTAGTAATGTCTTTATGTAAAAGAATCAATCATAATCAATCTATAAAGATCAAATCTAAATTAATTAATCTTCATAACGTTTGTTTCCTTTCGAATCATGTCCATAACTTTCCTTCCTTGTTTGGGCAGAAACTGTTTGGTAGCAAAGATTAGAAAGCTTCCTATGAGTGTAGTAATAGGAAGTATTCTTTTTCTTTATGATTCGTTTCCATGCATGATGATAGTAAATTAGGCCAACATTCACCACTATTTATCAATGTCATCAATCGTATCCATTCCTACCAGTTTTAAGGAATCTGCTCGCTATGTCTTTTTTAAGGGGATCCGCTCGCTAAGTCGTCGTCGCACGTTATTTTCACAAACAATCTCTACTCCTAATGGAGCAGTTGATAGCCTCGTACGGTTTATTTTTGCCCTCCTCCCACCTCCAATGGTTCTTTTTCTCTCCACTCTTTCCTTACAAACCAATAATTTCATAACATACAAAAGATCACGAATCTATCTTTCCTTACCCGAACCAATCGCGCCCTACGTCAGTGCCTTTCTTTATTAAGAAAACTAACACGTAAATCTTAACGCACTAGAAGAACGCCCGTGCGTTGCAACGGGGCCACATTAACTTTAAGAGTTCAATATTAATATTCTCATACATATCAAGTGACATTGGCGACCTTTTTTACCATCAAATCCTCTCACACACACACTCTCTCTCCCCCTCTCCCTCTCTCTCTCTAACACACACACATATCCTTCTTATTGGGTACGGGACCATAATTCATCTATTTCACACACACACGCTAGTGCATAATAATATGGATTATGTGTATTATATTTGCCACCACAACTGAGGGAATTAATTTGATGTAAATCGGCCAGCCACGGCTCCAAGTGACATGCTAGTGCGGAGGAGGTGGCCTGGGTCGGCGTCGGCGCCGTCCGGCGCGGGCCATGGGCCCGCTTCCAAGTGCGTCTGCGCGCCGGCCACCCACGCCGGGTCCTTCAAGTGCCGCTTCCACCGCACCAACTCCCAGGGCCACGGCCACGGCCAGGGCCAGGGAAGCCGCCCTTCTTCGCCCCCTTCACCGGCCGCGGCCAACGCGGTGCCGCGGCACCCGGCGTCGCCGTCCTCGTCCTCCGGCACCGTCGCGACCCACTGACGCAGCCCAAGCCTCGGCCTCGAGAATCAAGAACGCTCGGCAACGGAGAGGGAAGGGAAGATCATATTCATGTCATAAGAGAGGGAGTTATTTACTGCTCCCTCGATGTATTGTTTCCTTTGTTTGGAGATTGATTACCATCCGTGAGTTAAGATAAGGTTAATGTGATTGAGCGATTTTTCTGAAAATCAATTATTTGTTTTCTAATTAATGTGATTGAGTGATTTAAGGTAAGGTTAATTAATTTAGATTTAATCTTTAGAGATTGTTCGTGATTGATTCTACATTCTAAATAACTTGCGCCAGTATGGAAAGTTCTGATCTGTTCAGATTTCTTTCATTGTGTGAGAGGGTGACGCAAAAATAAACCGATGAATTGGGAGGAGGGGATGAAAAAAATCTACGAAAAAAAACCAGCGAAGGTGGGAGGAGGTACCAAAAAAACCATGGGAGGTGGGACGGAAAAAACCTGGAAGCAAGACTACCAACTACTGGGCCACGGCCACGGCCAGGGCCAGTGAAGCCGCCCTTCTTCGCCCCCTTCACCGGCCGCGGCCAATGCGGTGCCACGGTGCCCGACCTCGCCGTCCTCGTCCTCCGGCACCATCACGACCCAGTGATGCAGCCCAAGCATCGGCCTCGAGAATCAAGAGCGCTCGACAACGGAGAGGGAAGGGAAGATCATATACATGTCATAAGAAAGGGAGTTATTTACTGCTCCCTCAATGTATTGTTTCCTTTATTTGGAGATTGATTACCATCCGTGAGTTAAGGTAAGGTTAATGTGATTGAGCGATTTTTCTGAAAATCAATTATTTGTTTTCTAATTAATGTGATTGAGTGATTTAAGGTAATGTTAATTAATTTAGATTTGATCTTTAAAGATTGTTCGTGATTGATTCTACATTACTAAATAACTTGCGCCAGTATGGAAAGTTCTGATCTGTTCAGATTTCTTTCATTGTGTGAGAGGGTGACGCGAAAATAAACCGATGAATTGGGAGGAGGGGACGAAAAAAACTCAGCGAAAGTGGGAGGAGGTACCAAAAAAACCATGAGAGGCGGGACGAAAAAAAATCTGGAAGCGAGACTACCAACTGCTCCATTAGGAGTAGAGATTGTAAACAAATCTCGTTATGGACCTAATTAATTTATTATGGAATCTATACGTGGCCGCATTGGTTCTTTTTCTCTCCACTCTTTCCTTGCAAACCACTAATTTCCTAACATACAAAAGATCACGAATCTATCTTTCCTTACCCGAATCAATCGATCCCTACATCAGTGCATTTCTTTATTAAGAAAACTAACACGTAAATCTTAACACATTGTAAAGAATTCCCGTTATGGACCTGATTAATTTATTATGGAATCTGTACGTGGTCGCATCTCTCCCCTCGTGAAAAAATCGCATCCATCTCCCGTTAAAAAGGAAAAGAGAACATGAACGATCAATCCCACACCATGCATCTCAGTAGCAAAAAATCGCCCTCGCCTCTGCTACTGCGCCTCGCCGTGTGCCCGGCTCGACCCATGCCTCGCCTGCATGGCTGGACGCCGCCGTCTCCACCGCCACGTACAAGAAAACGGTGGGCAGAACCATCCATTCAAATCGCACACCCCCACCCTCCTCCGCAATCCCTAGCCTCGCATCACCATATCGCTTTCTTGCCTCTCTTTCCCCTCGATGTAGATGGTGCCGAGCGGCGGCCTCGAGCACCGGCAGTGCCGCCCTCTCTATCTTCTCTGCGTCGAGAGATGGGCCGAGGCTATCGTCGGTTCGCCGCCAACGATTGGGCTGCCTCCGGTTGTCGCGCACCACCGGCTCGACCTAACGTGCCCGACCCTCTCCGCTTTCGATCTTCCGGCGACCACATCCCTCCGCGCCTCCATCCATCATCCACAAGGCCACTCCCTGCACCCACCCTCCTAAATTCTCCATACCGGCGGACAATCACCGAAGATCCAAGTTGGCCCGATATCAATTTTTGTACATGCTTTCTTTATCAGTTGGTGATGGGAATGTGTTCCAATTTCTCTCTCTGACTATAGATTCGCAGGCAATAAGCGCTTCTACATGCATCCTCCTGTCGGTCCCTAAAGTACCAAGGTAAATGGTTGATGTTGCGTTTGTCTAGGATGATATATGTTGGCTCTGTTCCGGTTCATCCGAGCAGTTCCGGTACATCGTGCATTTATCTTGCCAGTAATGTTCTGTGATGCTCTGATGCACGTTGGGAATTGTTTATCTTGTCTTCAGTGCAGAACATTTGTTTATTAATGCATGAGAAGTATCCTTGTTACTACCTTGAACCTGTTTTATAATCCATATTGTTATGCACTAGCGCGTGTGCGTGTGAAATAGATGGATTATGGTCCCGTACCCAATAAGATGGATATGTGTGTGTGTTAGAGAGAGAGAGAGGGAGAGGGGGGAGAGAGAGTGAGGAGGAGGGAGGGAGAGAGTGTGTGTGAGAATTTGATGGTAAAAAGGTCGACAATGTCACTTGATATGTATGAGAATATTAAATGTAATATTAACATAATTGATATTGAACTCTTAAATTTAATGTGGCCCTGTTGCAACGCACGGGTGTTCTTCTAGTATATATAGTAAAACTGCGTCTATCATAGCTTTCCACAGAACTAGTTAACACTCGCTAAGCTTCTTACGGTGTAAATGTTATAATATTTTTTTGAAAGAAATAGTGGAGCACCCCTACAATGTAACAAGATGATCTAACGGTGTGATTGTGAAAATATGCATTCACGTGTCCTCGACAAAAAAACTATTATTTCAGCTCACCGCGACATAATTAAATAGTACTCCTCCATCCGGGAAAACATGTCACCAGCTTAGTTCAATTGTAATTTTGCAAAAAAAAACATATCATTTTAAATCTCGTGCTAATCAGCCCTTCTTCCTCCCCTGACGCCTGCGGGCACCGCGCACCCCAGCCTCTGTCTCCCCCCGTCGCCGGCGGGCACCGCGTGCCCCAGCCGCCGTAGGGATCAGTCGGCGACAAATTCACTTGCGGAGGTGAGCTTCGCCGCAGCCCACCTGCTCCTCCATGGCGACACCTCGATGGGTGGCGACTGCACGGCTCACGGACGGCTCCTCCTCATCGTC